TTTTTTTTATCTTGTTAGATTTAAATTAGATCTATTTAGATTTAATCCATTTTTTCACGGGCAGATACTTGTCACATTATTATCACTACAATTTCTGTGGAATACTTCCTTATACATACACTCTGTTTCACTCTTTATTTCTCTCTTTGTCTATTTTTCTTTCTCTTTTTTTTGTTCTTCCTTCTGAAATATTTCGTTTCCAAAACGCGAAGCTAGAAAGAATATTAGTATAGAATTCTCAAGCAAAATGTATAAAATTAATATTATATCACTGTTAGCCATCATTGAAATCTCTCTTGGAAAAACTTCTTCGCCACATTTTATTTGACAATAATGTTACAACGCCATTTCACACATGTTTGCGATACGAAGTATTTAAATGGGCGTGTCTCTTCAGTAGTTTTATGTGTCAATCTATTGCTCATGAAGAACTGAAACACATTGATGAAAATATTTCTGCCATCTCTAGACAGTAAGCAAATATTTTATAATCACGATTTTCTTACATTAAATACTCTTACTCTTTGTTATGTACCGCGAACAGTTGTTTAAAATCATAATTTTGTGATTTCTGTAAGATATAAAACTAAAACAGGACTATGGCAAGAATGGATTTATTGCGATGGATTAAGAAACGTAACATTAGACGTACTGGAGAAAGTAATACTTACTTCCAAGTTGAAAAACAATTTTAATGACGCAATTTTGAATTACATACCTTGTCTAGGATTCAAGACAGTTTTAAACTTTTTAAGCGTTAGACACATACAAAACAAGACTTATCTACCATTACAAGACTCCGGGCATGTAATTCTCTTNCACTCTCTTGTTGCNAAACATGCAATACATGGNANTGTGATCGANTTATTANANAATTTCTCTGTCATAAAACCTAGGTNATAATTATAGTTCCTTTTCGTTAATATACATAACAGTTGTAAATTTCTAANAACGAACACTTGGTAGTTGTACGAAGGTATATAAATATGTAATATCATATTTTTTTCTACAGACATATGAAATCGGTTACGGCATTATGTATTATTATTAACCATGTATACTCTCAATCTGCTTTGNACACGGTAAGTTCTGGTTTTCCAAAANTCANCANNGTATNCATTTTGGTATTAATTNTATTGTTACNAANTGTATANTTCATACGCATAAATAATATATANAAGTACATATCGGAAGTGTNATATTAAGAATTTATATTCTTTATCATAGTAATTCATGTCAGTGGCGTAGGACGAAAAGATAGAAGTGGACGATTTGCCGTCTTAACAANAGCGCGGGGAAGCAATATGTAAACGCGTTTTTATTGCTTGAAATGTGAGCGTTATTTAATGTAATGCAAAAAAATCTCACTTATTCTCACTTTTTTTAATTGCGTACTAGCGGCACAGAGTGCTTCTTCAAAAAATTTGACGTTTTTTTTTATATAATATTATTTAGTTTTCGGTATAGAATGAAAAGACTGTTGTGTCTTTTCTCGCTTATTATTAATGCGCTTTTTTTCTGGAAAAAATCACGTTGTGCAAACACAAACGAGTCGTTTACACTTTTAACTTTACAGTCTTCAACACAGACACCTATGTGAATATATAGCCAAATGTTTTACGATCGAGACATCACTTCTTTTTTGGTTTTTATAAAATATTAGTGTTTTATAAAAAAACTAAAGTGTAAACTAAAAAGATGGTTTCCACTAAATTGAAACAATTATTTGTTAGGTATGGAAGTAAGTATTATCAAAGTAACTTTATAAGGAAGAGAAAAAAATATCGCTCTCGACGTTGTTTTTTTTTACTACGCCACTGATTCATGTACTTAATATAATATTTTATAATTATACAATATGATATATTTTGTTATTACAATTTGTTATAGATTATCCAGTTCACAAATGCTTTTTATAAACCTGAAGCCCCATGGATTGCGCTTGTTAGTAATACAAATTTACAATTTACACAGTTTTGATTGTATTATCTTTTAATGTTAAAAGTTGTCGATAATGATNAAACTAACGACGCATGAAAGAAACCACTTTTTTTTGTTTTTGAATCGATTCAGTACTGATCAGTGAAGCTAGAAATAATCCTTCAGTGAATTAATGTAAGATGTTGAAGTTTTGTGGTAGACGTTGTTCTGTCTACAAGTTACAAAGGTTTACAAAGTATCGAACCTACTCTTTTTGTTAATTTCATAAATGTAAAATATGTGTCTTATTCTTTAAGAAGTGTAGAAAATTGTTTGTATGTGATTGTTTGGTTGTGAAAGGTTTATTACATAAAAATAAGTTTATGACTATTTGTTGATGTATAATACTCATAATACAAAATTTTACAATAAGCTTTTTGTTGACTATTTTAATTGAAAAAAACAAATTTTGCAGGTGCTTAAAAAAGTAAATCTACGTCTGTCTCAAATCAAGAAGCACAAAAACAATTTCATGCAACTTTTGGACATATCAAGTAGCGCAAAAGTAGAATATGACGTTTTCAAATACGTAATAGTTTGTACTTTGCATGTATGGTTAATTGCTTATCCAGTAATTATTTTCAGATCGCGTTATTATAGATATATAGATAGTATAGATATATTCATCTAGATCTTTTTTTACATGATTTAATTCTTTAAATGAAATATGTGCAAACTGGGATGATGTAGATAACAAATTTTGAGAAAAAATAGAAACATGATCACGTAAAATTATATATAAGTGATCAAATTACGCCAAATTTCAGATCTAATTTTATATGCTCATACACAATTTTTTATATTTATATATGATCATATAAAATCAGGGTGCGCCGAATTACGAATGTGATTTTACACAGTTACATAAAATGTCTTCCGACTTGTTTAAAATCTATAATATTATTATATAAAATCATACTCGACTCATATATAATCCCACATGATCAAACATTTTTTATTTTTTCTTGGAATTGCTTAGAATGTGCCAATAATCTGTTGTCATGTAATTTCGACAAGCTCTGTTTTCAGCAGACGATAAGGAATCTAAAACTTCTATCGCAAATTTTTGCTAAAATTTATTGTCATAATTTCAACACGTAAGAATGTAAGTTGGTGACTGTAAAAATTGTATATCTTTTCGACTAATTTTATAAATCTGTTTCCAAATTGTAAGATAGTTTTTTTTTGTTATATTAAAGGACTTTAAATTGTGATTTCTTTTCTTTCCCTTGCAAAGAGAAAAACGTTACATATTATAATATAAATAATTGTAATTGGTTTTCAAAAATTGTAATTTTTAAATGTTTTTATTCTATTTATTCAAGTTATTATTTCTTACACGTAAAAAATTAAAATGTACTACAAATTATAAAGAAAAATATTGATTGTGATAACTATTTTGTGTGAGTTTTAGCTTTGATCTTTTATGTATCGTTTATTATCTGTGACAAGCGCGTGTATAATTATTTCGAGATGCGTTCGCTTTGGGCGTTCTCGCGCTTTGAACGTCGGTCTATCTATTTATGTTTATAGACCATGGGTCTGTCTTTGTTTTACATTTGAAGAAGAGCAACAAAGACGGACTGACGTTCTTAAAGCGCGGAAGCGTCCAAAACGAACGCACCTCATCGCGCGCAGTCTATTATCAGCTGGTCATGTAAGTTGTCAGGTAAGTCAGGTTTGGTTAGGATGGTTTGAACGGTGTGTGTACGTGTTTGTACTCGATGTGATTGTTAAGTTTGCTGATTTTACTGAAGTTTCTTCGGGGTTTGTGTGCTCGTTTATTACGATGTCAAAGAGTAAAGTTTCGGCTGAATGGAGAAAACGAGTAAAATCGGAGTATATGCGTTTGCGACAAATGAAACGTTACAAGCGTGCAGACGAAGTCAAGATCGCGTGGAATCAGAATCGTAAGGTTATGACAGGTAAGCGTTCTTTTTATTGAATATTAATAATTTCTTAACTTGAGTTCACAACTTGTGTATGTAATTCAGTAACTGTGTTGACGCATAACCTGTACCAAGATGTACATTGAATCCAAGAATTCGTACATGGTTACTCTTTCTTTATATGCGTGTGTGTGTGTGTGCGTGTGCATACAATGTATATGCAGGTACACATATAACTGTGTTTTATTACAACAAATTAACTTTGTTCACATGCACAGATTATTATAACAGTATCTAAAATTGACTATATTATAATACACTTATTAGATAGACATTATTGATATATATCATCGGATAGATCTCCTTATGGCTGAACACAAGCGTTGGATAGATGGAAAGGCAATGTGGCTAGCTATGCAGGACATTCCATCTCATCTGTCTTGTATGAAAAAGGCAGAAATTACCAGTCCTGACGGAGATACTCAAAGTTGTCCTGTAAAAATAATTAATGCAGTGACTCCTATACCAACTATGTATACATGGGCACCAATTCAGCAAAACTTTATGGTAGAAGATGAAACTGTTTTACACAACATTCCTTATATGGGTGATGAAATTTTGGATCAAGATGGCACTTTTATTGAGGAGCTTATCAAAAATTATGATGGAAAGGTGCTTATGATGAAAAAAAACAGAAACAAACAATATAGCATGGATTCAATATTGATTCCAATCATTTATATTGTCACTTTAGCATAATTTAATATTTATCTTAAATTAACTTTTTATATTATTTTGGGGTAGGTTCACGGTGACAGAGAATCAGGCTTTATGGATGATTCTATTTTTGTCGATTTGGTGAATGCTTTAGCAAATTACGAGAAAGAAGACAGAGAGAGAGAACAGACGAAAAAAGGAAAGGAAACTTTGAAAGAGAAAGAGAATCAAAAAGAAATTGAAAAGAAAGATTCTGAGATAAAGGTTGAAGTAAAAGCAGAGAAAACAGAAAACGCAAAGACAGTAGCTAATCCTCTCCCGTCAATGCACATATTCAATGTAAGCAAGTAATTGAGAACATAATATTCTAGTACACTTAATGTATCTGAACATTTAATATACACTAACAATTAATACAGAAAGAAGAGTTTGAATAATTATATTATATTTATGCACAGGCAATATCAAGCATGTTTCCTGATAAAGGAAGACCCGAGGAATTAAAAGAAAAATTTATCGAATTAACTGAAAAGTCTGATCCAAATGTTTTACCGCCAGAATGTACGCCCAATATAGACGGTATAAATGCAAAAAGTGTGCCTAGAGAACAAACAATGCATTCCTTCCATACTTTATTCTGCAGAAGATGCTTCAAATACGACTGCTTTTTACATCGTAAGTATCTTGCAATAAAACAAAGTTTTTCAATATTTAAGTTGTATTTTGTGAAGTTTATATATTATTTAAAAACCACTGTATATTTTTCTCCCGCTTTTATTATTCTTCTGTCTTATTCTTCTGTTTATCTCTTTATTTTTACGTAGGAATTAATATTGTTTATATATATGTTAATAAATATTACTCGTAGAAATATTTAAAAACTAGTAAGAATATCAAGAGAGAGAACTTCGCTAAAATACAACTTACTGGTAATGGATATTTATAAGTATTTTATGTTGAAAGTATATTAATTACAATAATTTGTGATTCCTGATTTATCTCGTAGCAGCCAGGGGGACCTCGCCGCAAGGTAAAGAACAATATTGCATTTAAACTAATGCATTATCGATCAAAAGCTTGTTTTTGTTTAGCACGGAGGCATCGTCAAGGGCTCATCCACAATCATTTCATTCATCGTTCATCGCTGTGTCTCTCTTTCTCTACTAAACACTTCATTCAATCGATTCATACCGACGACGGTACATTTGTTCTGAGTTTGTGATGTTTCTTGTAGGTCTTCAAGTGTGTCATCCAGGGCCAAACTTGCTGAAGCGGAAAGGACCTGATCTAAAGCCGTTTGCGGAACCGTGTGGTGCGGAATGTTACATGCACTTGGTACGGCGTGTACAATGCAAAGTTTTAATGGAAGTTTCGATCTTAAAATTATAGATTTGATAACGTAACTATTTGTGCAGGAAGGAATGAAGGAAAAACTGGCGGCACAAGCGGCGGATAAAGAAGAAGAAGGCGATGAGAAACGCGGTGGTCCTAGAAAAGTGCGAAAACAAGCGAGCGTCGATTCTGGAAACGAAGCGAGCAGCGAGGACAGCAACGACAGCAATAAGTATGGTCAAGAAGGCAGTTGTCAAGAAGGTAATAATATACGACTGATCATATCACGTCACGAAATTTATTTTTATTCAGAGTTTAAAGGTTTTTTTACTTTTTGAGTTAGATTTTAAGCAAAACGTTAATAACAAGGACGCCAAACCCGAAGAAATAATAATAGAGGACCAAGCACAACCCGAAAATCAAATACCTTTCACGCTGATGGAAGCTGGCAAACGGATTAAGACAGAGAGCGAATTTTCGTGGACGGGTTCTGAGCAGAGCTTATTTCGAGCTCTTCACAAAGCCTTCCCCGGTAATCCGTGCGCAATGGCGCAAATTATGTTAACAAAAACTTGCCAGGAGGTGTACGAATTTGCGCAGAAAGAAGCCTCGGATATTCCCGCTGTAGAAAACTTCAAAGACTTCACGCCGCCGCGAAAGAAGAAAAAGAAGCATCGATTGTGGTCGATGCATTGTAGAAAAATACAGTTGAAGAAGGATTCTGGTTAGTTTATTAATTTATTATTAAAAAATTTAAAATTATGATTGTTTTTTTTTCTACTGCTTTTTATTTATATATTGCGATGAAACCGTAGGTGCTAATCATGTGCACAATTTCGCACCATGCGATCATCCCGGTCGACAGTGCGACAACTCGTGTCCCTGCATACAGGCACAGAATTTCTGCGAGAAGTTCTGTCAGTGCAGTAGCGAGTGCCAGAATCGATTCCCCGGTTGCAGATGCAAAGCCCAGTGCAACACGAAACAATGTCCATGCTATTTAGCTGTGAGAGAATGTGACCCGGATCTCTGCCAAACGTGTGGCGCTGATCAGTTTCATATCACTAAGATATCATGCAAAAACGTTAGCGTACAGCGCGGTCTTCGTAAGTTTGAAAACAAATCTCATTTTATATTGTAAACGAGAGAGAAAATAGAGAAATATAAATTTTCAATTGATGTTTTAGACAAGCATCTGTTGATGGCACCGTCGGATGTGGCGGGTTGGGGAATTTTCCTGAAAGAATCGGCGGCGAAGAACGAGTTTATCTCGGAATATTGCGGCGAAATTATCAGTCAGGATGAAGCGGACAGACGTGGAAAAGTATACGACAAATACATGTGCAGTTTTCTTTTTAATCTCAATAATGGTAGGTACGGTATAAATATTTGGAAGGAGAAGAGAAAGAATTGTTTATTTCAGAGAAAAGCGAGGTTTAAAAATTGGATTTCTTTTTAGACTTTGTCGTCGACGCGACAAGAAAAGGAAATAAAATAAGATTCGCCAATCATTCGATAAATCCCAATTGTTACGCAAAAGTAATGATGGTGAACGGCGACCACAGAATAGGTATTTTTGCTAAGAGAGCAATCCAACCTGGTGAAGAATTATTTTTCGATTACAGGTACACATCTCACTGTGTGTAATTGACAATTAAGTTATTAATCGTATGCGATTCAGAATCACATGAATTATAACGATTTTCAGATATGGACCAACGGAGCAACTAAAATTTGTCGGTATCGAGCGAGAGATGGAATTTCTCTAAGAATTTTATATTTTGTATAGAAATATGCACATATGAACGCGCGCGGGGCAATAGACAGATGCATACAGCTGAAACGTTACAAACGAATAAAACAGTTTTATTCGTTTATTGTACAATGGAAGTACATATATTATCATTATTAATCCTAGTAAACAAAGTAAAAAAAATATGCCAGCAGATTGGCAGCAAATTGCAGACCAATTGCTGCTTCTTTGCCGACAAATGTCGATTTTCGATTGTGCTATCAATGAATAGCGTTTTACCCACCTTTATTTATATAATAAAATCTCAGAATCATTCTATTTATATATATATACACATAAATATACATATGAGAAAAAAAATCGCAAATGTAAAAGATTTTTTAGGCTTACTGTGTGTTTCTTTATATGTATGTTTGATGTGATAATTTGTACAATAATATACTAATAAAATGATACTGCAAAAAAAAAGTGACGAAGAATTCAACACAATATTTTATATGCAATAGTAGAATATAAAAAAGTAAGTACCTGAGATGAGATTAACAGTATTGGAATTTTCAGACTTTTGTATAAAACGAAAGCAATTTTCTCAACGAGACTAGCTGTATGTATGTGTGTTATTTATTAAAATGTGTTTTCGAGTAACACTCCACGATTTTTACTTTTTTCTACATCAATTTACAATTAAAATGCAATCGTCGTAACGAGTACGTGTCGCACTTCACTCTTTACATGAGTAAAATGTAAATCTATTTGTGCTATCGCGCGACAAATGGCGCACACTTATCGGAAGCCGTATACAATTATCACGGTAATATTATCAATAAAACTCAAAGTGAATGACATAACAATAAAACTTTAATTCCGCTTACCTTATAACATCGAGATTATAAGATGTAGGAATAGGAAGAACCCAGTTTAAGATCAACTTCGGGAAACTAAGTTCAGATTTTAGCCGTCAAACGTGATTAATCGCAATTCAATCAAATCGACCGATGCAATTCATTAATTAAATTAACCGTAGTCGAATTAATTTTAAAAACTTTCCAAAACTGTAAGTACACTTGTATACATATATGTAACGTCTGAAACACAAAATAATATACAAATAAGACGCGAGAAAGTTTGATTACGTGACATTTACGTGACAATCCAAAATCGCGTCACGTGATTTTGTCGGAGGGGTAGCACTGGATCAAGGCGTCGCAAACGACTAGCTTCGCGCAGCTTACCGAGTTATCGCGAAGGGAGTGTGTGGGAAGGGGAAAGCTTCTCGACGATCACGGCGCGACAATTCGGCCACCAGTTGCGGGCTTCGCAGCCGCGAAAACGGTTGAAAGAAAGATGCGGTGTGTTTGTAGAAATTAAATCTCATCAAAAAAAGAACCGCTTAATATTCGCTTTTAAAATGATCATGCGAGAGTAACTGAAGTTCCGACCGTTGTGTTTGCGTTGCAACACAATCATCGGCTCCACTTGCGAGAAATTTAAATCCGCACTCGACGTCAACGAGGCAAAAAGATTTGCTACCGCAAAGAAAACTTTTGCGCGTGTCGCGAATGCACCTTCGTCGGCAAATAATTTAAAAACAAAAAAATCTTAAATCTCTTTTCTAAACGAAAAGAAAATCGAAAAAAAAAAACGCGATTGACGTAATTTATTTATTATTTTGGCGCGAGTGGTGGCAGTGCGCGTCTTTCAACGACGATTGCGAAAATTCGCGGATTTAAAATTTAATTGGATTTGGGCGCCGGATAAATATTTATTTTTCACGATCGAAGTTACGCTATTGAAATCTGCGACCCGGGCGCACACACGCGTAAAGGATGAATGTGTCGGCTAGTGATCTCGCTGAAGGCGATAGGTAAATTCGAATGATTCGGAGCGTCTTTGACGGGAAAAATGTCGCGCGCGACGCGTCGCGGGTGAACATGTCGCGGAGACGGTGAAGTATATGAGAAAGAGAGAAGTGACGACGTGCCGCCGATGATACTCGGCTCGGAGGAGGAAGCCAATTTGGATCGAGGCCAAGTCTGAGGGAATTTCGTTCGCGAACATGGAGGAAGAAGGTAAGAATGACAATTTCTGTTGCGACGTATTATGTATCGTTGCCTAAGATATCCGTGGGAAGTGCGTAAAGAGATGCTTCTTACACCGTGATCGCAATGAGAGAATAAAATATTTTTTCTATTAGCAACTCTCTGCGCGAGTGCGCGGAGAAATAAATTGGAAGTGTCTATTTTTATAGTAATCACTGTTACACATACGCACACATGGTTGTTAAAAGTAATCTTGCAAATATAATATTGCATTTCTTGGAATGGAACTGTAACATTATAACGTCAAAACTCACTACGCGCGTGATTGCTGCAATTATTATTATTTTTTTTTTCTAGTGTTTTTATTCGTTTTAAGAATTTGAACGAAATTCGTCATAGTGTGTGTTATATTTCGCGATATTTTCGTAACAAAAAAGATCACTTGTCAAACTCTTAAAGAATTACGGTTTTTGCACTTTAATTTGTAAATCGAATAATATTCATGAGAGAAATTTATATTCCATCATTTAATTTGAAATCGCGATTTATCACGGTGCTGGAAATTGTGATTTAATGTGACAATTGAAACTTGCGTTGCGCGCGATTGTAATGATTTCATATAAAACTTACGCAATAACAAACTTTTACTCGATCACATGTAATTACGATAAAAAAGCGCTTTTATTATGAAACGCGACAACTCGCACATTGCACACGCTGTGTCTCTTTTTGTCTCGCGAACAGAATTTGTAAAATTTAAATGGGATTGACTTTGGTATAAAATCGAAAAATATAAAGATTTTCAACGTTATTTATCAAGAATAAAAGCTTTATGGAAAAAAACAATTCATACACACAGACAAAAAACAAAACTTGAAATATACACATATGTATACATATGTGTATTTGTATTGCATATTTGCAATACGTATTTTATAATAAATTTATATGAGATATTGCGAGAAAAGCATGGTTTTGTTGCAAACTTTTTGACGTTTCGCGGAATATCTTTCGAAGAAAGAGAGAAACGTTTCTCGCATAAAATATCTTTAGTACGCGCAGTTCGCGCACGAGATCATACGGCGAATATGTTTCTATGCGCACTTTAATAAGTACTTATATGTACGTACGTACGTACATATACGTCTCAACATATGTATATTCATATCAAACTCACGTATCGCAATAAAACGCAAGAAATGTAACGGAGAGAACTCGTTTGAATCGTGTTATGAGATAGAGGAGCACGTTTAATTCCCGAGCGACTCTTTGATCCGGTCATTTTTTTCTCATTTTCTCTTTCGTTCATGAATCGTGAAATTTTTTCGCTAGACGAACGAACAAGCGAGCATAAATCCCGCGGATTTAAAACGCTCAAGCTTTTCCGATATATTCCGCCGTTTCGCGATACTTGACACGTGAAAATTTCGGCCTCTTCCGTCTTTCCGAGAGTCCGTGTTTCATAATCACGCGCGTCGCCGCGTTGTATCGCCTTCCAAGTTTCATAATAGCAACTTCTCTCGAGGAAACAAGGCCGCACACACGTTACAGTTGCTAAGTACATCTCACGGTTTATCACTGGTGCGCATCCTCATAGAAGAGATACTTTTACCGTGTCTAAAAATATAAGAAATATTTAAATTAGTAATAAGATAAGGGGAGCCACAATAGGAGCACGATTGATGATTGTAAATTCTTCATTGTGTGCAAACTTGTAACAAACGTTTTTTAATTATGGAATGTGATCTTTATCAATAGCAAAGTTAATCGGTAGATGTCAAAACTTGAACGTTGTACAGTCCTAATAGTCAAAGTCAAATGATGAAATTTTGTGTGTCAAGATTATTGTCGTGATGAGTTACACTAAATAATTAAAATAAAAAATCTTGATATTTGATTGAAAACCGATGTTTGTTGAGCACGTACGTTCGAGAGACTGTATTTCCGATTTCCAAAATAACTGTCAAAAGGTGACGAGACATCAATTATACATACATGACGACCTTACTAATTCATGTAAACATATTTTTTTTATGTATCATGCGCGCATATGTCTCACAAAGACAAATAGTATAAAAACTAAGTACGAAGGGTGAATAATAAAGAACGAACATGTAATGTAATAAGGGTGCGAATAATAAAGGTGAATAATAAAGATGAAGAACATGTACCAAAATAAGTTCACAGTTTGCTCAACGAATAATGGCTCCTACAGTTATATGTAAAATTAACAAACTTATATGTGTAAAAATATTTATAACTGTATATATAAAGTTATAAATATTTATAACTTTATATATAAAGTTATAAATATTTTTAATATCATATAAATGTTGATTAAAATAAAAGAGAAAGTATAAAACTTAAATGTGTACATGTGTACAATATGTATATATTAATGTACGCATATATGTAATTTATAGTTTAAAATTGTTTTCTAGTTTTAATTTAAATTTAAAGAGAGAGAGTTTTTTATTTATACCCATGCTCCGTACACATCGAGCGTAGTTTAGAATAAAGCACACATAGACACGTGTTCCGGTTCCACATGTTTTAATTTATTGCCGACTTCGTCATCGCCCGAATCTCGCGACGATAAGGTGATTCGGAGAGCCGAGCCAAGTTCCAAATTCGCAAGCGGCTTATTTTGATCCCTCCGTTCGCCTGTTATTAATCACCACGTACGTATACGCGAAAATAATAGCGGGAGACCGCGTGCGTTTATACAAACGCTGATGGCGTTACGAGAGGCGGCTTGTACGCAACGTCATGGCGCATTTGCATTCGTGTCGCGAAAATTCCGGAAACCGCGGAAAGCAGATCGCATTCGTGCGAGTGTGTGTAATTGCAAACGCCATGTTCGCTAAACGCAGCTTTACGATCCAGACCGTGGCAAATGCTTTTGTCCGGATAAAGTGCTTTATACACGGAGCTTAATCCTTTCATTACTCGCTTCTATCTTGCCTCGCGCACGGCCTTACAGACATTTACGATATTAATCACAACAATGAGAGAGATGCTATCAGTAGCAATAATGATTATAAAAGTTTTAAGCATTTTTTTACGTTTACTATTTTAGAAAAAATGTGATTCCACATTATATCTCAATGTAGAGAATATAGTGTTTGTAGCTTGTAAAAAACTTATTTGCTATACAGTGTGTGTGTTTATATGTACGTGTATATGTACTATATAGTAATATATATAATAATATTAAATTGCTAGCAATATTTATTAATATTACTGCTTTTTTTTATTAATATTACCGTTACTAATATTGCTAGAAACTTATTAATATTATACTGACATTAACCGCTACGATACTATTCGCTTTAACACTAACGACCGTATTGCGCTTTGATGTCTTTTCTCGAGTTTGATTTCAAATGCAAATGCATTTACAAGGTGTCGGTGTAACTTTGCTACGACGCGAATTCAAAGGAAAACAAAATCGCGGATTCTGAAACGTCGATATACCAATTAAAATATTTTACATACAATTTCAACGCTTGAAAAATATCACGTCGCGAATGACGACAGCTCGATTACGACAACTATTCCGTTCGATCTTTCGAATTCGCGTCGAAATCAAAACTTTACTTATGTTAAATTTCTGATAACGGAGTTTCTACACACAAATATAACCTTTTATTTCCCTTCTACGTCACACATGATGGACGTGTCATTTATTCCGTGTTTTTCTCTATTTGAATTCCTATAATATTGAAATTAAAGCATTGCTATGTAATTTTCAACTTCGATATTTTGTGCGAGAGATAATTTATTACGCAGAGGAAATGAAAATGTTATTATTGAAAATATACAGTTGCGGATTATTTTATAATGAAAAGGCAACGCTGGAATGGATGAGAGAAGATCACAGATTTGAGATAATAAACAACGATAAACTTAACTTTGTGATTCATCGTTTGTGTTTCTACGAACTGCCTGCAAAATTAGATTTATTATCTTGCATTTTTTTGTCGGTAGAAATATCAATTTTCTTGGAAACACAAAAAATTGGATTTTTTTAAACCAGCGAGATTGATTGTTTTCGAGCGATTCTCTTTAAAAACTTTAGCAATATCTTTACTGTTAATTTTAGTATATATAACGGAAACATTGTTAATCCCCTCAATATTTTGTAAAGTAAAGCTTTTTCCATCACTTACACAAGATCAATTTTACGCGGCCAACAATTCTTGCGTTTATTAAAAACGAACGAATTAATTCGTTATTGCGAAAAGTGGAAATGCGCGTTCAAGGCATATGCGATGGAAGAAGAAATTCTCAAATATTTAATATAATACTCCTTAATTTGAACATTTCCCGGTTGAGCAGTAATTTCCCAGAAACAAACAAACGCATAACTAAAAATTCAATTGTGCGTTTTGAATCAGATATAATTTGTAATCAGATATAACAGTTAAACTGATTAATTTCGTTCCGCGATCTAAATATTTGTGTGAAACAATCGTCGACGTCGTCGCAAACGATTGTACTTCGCTGAACAGCGAGTCGCATTATATTCTCCGTTTTATACGAACGGATTTAATCGAGTACCGTGAGTACGAAACTGTGCTTGCACAAACGACAATGCCATCGTTATTGCCCGATGGAACTCTCTCTCTCTCACTCTCTCATAGCGTGGCGATCTACGTTCACAAGGAGATCTCGCGAATGTAGCACCGGATTCGATTCGAAACGGTGATAGGTATTGACGGCGGATCGTCCAAGCCTGTCGATACCAGTAGCCCTCGCCACTTCGTGTCAATTCTACCGATCCCCTTACGATCGAGACTTCCCTCGTGTAATAGATCGATGCCCGATAACTTCTCTCACCAACCCGTCCGCCTTCCATGTTCTTCAATTCGACGACAAGCTTACCCACTTTTGGTTCTCTCTTCTGTCAAACAATCTTATTCCAACTGGAGTTTATATCAATTTTATCTTGTAACATATAGATGTAATAAATTGTAGACAAAATTATTACAATAATTTTGTCTAAATATAATTTTTATTTGAACAGT